ATTATAAAATGTTTCTAGTATTTGTGTTTATTTTTTCAAATGCCAGTGAGGGTCTGTATACAATAAAGAAATATAATTACATAAAGCAATAAAGCAGGGGGGAAAAAACCCTTAATCCAAATGCGTTGAAAATTACACATTTTTCTATGGCAAGTCTGTTCAGCTGCCGTCAATAAGGTCATATTTAACTGATTTCTAGATGGAGGCATTTTATCTTATAAAAATGTCTTATTTTGGTTTTTAAAGGACATAGTTCAACTTTGGCTTAGCTTTTACGGTGGAGTACAGCAAATCCTTTTTCTACAAACAAAACGTTCTAATTTACTGCCCTCGATAAGATCCCTAGACTTGCTTAAATTGTTCGAAGTGTTAGAGGTGTAAACTATGCCAAAAACTATACTAGAATAAATATTGCATATATTTTCAATTTGTGGGTGAATGTAATGCAAAAATTTTGGTTGTTAGGCACATTGCAGGCAGGCTCTGCAGGCTTCCCACACACATTGCTACCGAAGGGCTTCAATCCTGACAGTTAACACCATATGATATTCCACTCTTGAATTACGTTATGAGCAGCAACTGCCAAGTAAGTCTGAGAGTTCTGGAATATTTGAACCCTGTAGACCTGATGACTTGTTGGTTTTTTTGGTTTGTTTTCCTTAGCACAATGCTTTTCACATGCAAATGCTATGAATGTCTGCTCACTGTGAAGGATTTCTTCTGCATCCTTAACTTTGCCTCTTGGAAAGCTGATTTCACTCAACTTACTTTCATTTAAAATTATGGGACATCTTCTTTCTGAGTGAAGCTACTGGATTTTTTTTCTTCAGCTTCTATTAATATAAGAAGCTTGTTTTTACTGAAATTATGAATAAGTAAATTGTTCTTCAGTCTCTTTCTAAAATTTCTTAAACTTTAAGAAAATTGTTAACTGTCTATACTAATTGACTCACTTGACTACTACAAAAGATAGACTTAGTGCTTTGAAATGGGAATGGCCCAAGAAGTGTCTCAGACAAAAAAAAATATTCTTCCTCCAGCAGTGCTGGAAAGAAAAAGCAGCATGTTGTGGGAGGGAAAGGATAGTATACCTGGTTTTATGCATTAACTTAAAATTTGTATTGGCTCATTCTGTATTACACACCAGACATTTTCCAGTTTTGTTCCACAGTGGTCAAATGAAGAAACCTTAGAGGATGGAGAAAACAGGCAAAGAGTGAGGGTGGGCTGCTTTGCAAAGACACTGAAGATCAATGAACACTTCATTTTATTGTACCTTGCCCTGTATCATTAGTCCTATGAGAGCTCAGCATCACATGTGGCTTTGGAGCATTTGTCATAGCAACCAAACAAATTGGTACATGCCTAACAAGACAAAGTGTTGTCCAGTCATACTTCCTTCAGACTCTTGCTGTCAAAAATGATTTGTAATAAAGACAGTTATAGCTATAGTCTATGCACACAAAAAGAGAGAAACTTCAAAAAATCCCTATTAGCACGTACGTGTAGAAACAATTAACTTGTTTTGGAAATGTAAGCTGTAGGATTAGAGAAAGTCATTAAATTAATGGTGCCAGAAAGTCTACTTATCACCTACACACCAGTAAAATCAATAATACAGAAAAACATATCCAGCTGAAGCAGTGCAGACAATCTTAATATTATTCAACAATCTTCAGTATTTTTTATGATCTTAGGACCATTTATATTGAACTCAGGGTTGAATCAAGATCACTAGGGATTCAGATGTTTTCAGAAACATATTCTGCTGCAAGGTACCACCAAGAGGATGCTGTCTTTTGGATGGGCATTCAAATAAATTTTAAGTGTATGATCTTCTTTAAAATGTTACAGCTGTAGAACTCTATTTAGTTCATCTGCTACAGATGTAGCTTTTCCTGCATCCTTTGGCCAGCGTTGCTACAAGGACCTCTCTTCTCTTCAGCCTTATGCCTCTCCCAGAGCTGGAATTTTTTGGTTCTCGTACATCTGAAAGTTAGACATCAGCACCTGTCCACTACACTTAACTAGCATGCCTGCTGGGTTCTGCTCTTTCCATCTGGTTTTGGGAAGTATGAAAGAGGTGAACATGGCAATTTGACAGTCTCATTGCTCAACATTGCTTGAATATGGCTAATTTCTAAAACTAAAACCAAAGTATTTACAGGAAGAAAATAAACTAATGGCATGCTGGTTTTATTCCATCTACAAACACTCTGCTCAAGTTTATTTGTTAAATGTCTCTGAGCATTTACTCAATGACAGACATTATATTCACCCAGCCAAAGTTCCTCTGTTCTGGTTCATTCTCAGGTTTTGCCTCGGTTTGTCCAACCCCCTTCATCACATTCACAAGGACACTGAGACCAACCTTTGCAGCCCAACAGTTATGTCATTATCAATAGCTGAGGTGGGACTGGTCCTCAATACATCTTCCTTCCTTGTTTTTAAGTTTAACTAAAAAAGTTTATTTGCAAAATAGACATCTCATAAACCCAGTCTACTTTGCTGCTCTGTTGAGCCTCACCTCAGAGATGGTCCCATCTTTTCATCCCTTTGCTAACTAATGCCCACCCTATTTTCAATTTTTTTTATATTTGGTCACTGTTTCAAAGGATATATTTTATTGCAAGAAATTCCTGCATTCAGATGCACTTGGATGGACACTTGCCCACCAGTATCATTCACCTGTTCTTCCTCTTTGGAATCAGCAAGAGAAACAAACTGAAATGACAAGATTCTCCTGTACTCTTTACAGGTCTGTGAAATGTCATCTTTATCCTATCTAATTCTTTTCCTTCCTTCAATCACAAATGCTGATGGGAGACATAGAAAAATTGTGCCACTCACACATTCACCACAAGTAGATACAGTAAGATAAGAGCTCAATTATCCAGAAAAAAATTATCGTCATGCACCATGTTAAAGGCACCAAAGGGAAGCAGCAGACATCTTAGCTGAGCAGACAGTGCTGCCTTAAATGGTCATCAGAAAAAGAAGAGAGGACTGTGAGAATATTGATTAAGTGGCAATTTAGGAGGCAGCAGGACTGATGTACTGTTCATGTTGACATAGTTAACAATCTTTTCTACACTGTGACAGCCATGCTAATCCTCTGTGAGAACCTGACAGGTTTATTCACCACAGCCTGGCTTCCCACATAAAAACCTGTGTAAAAAACCTGTGTGAAATAATGTTTTGTTACAACTTTGCTGTTTTGGGGGTGCATCACTCCTAGCCATCCTTCCATAGGAAATTAAGGCAGTATTCAAATACAATAGCTTGCCAAAGGGAATAGAACAAAGTATTCCTGTGGCAATTCCCTTGTTAGGCTATCAAGATAAAACTGTGTATCTTGTGTGTAAGAAAGACATTAAAGCTGTTGTTTGAGTGTAAGAATTTTGTTCATTCACCGCTCAGGGAAAAGAGTTTTTACACAAGGGGAAAAAAAAATAAAGAAAGGAGCTTTTCTGCACTGATCTGATTATATGTGGCAAGACAATCCTATCCGTTCTTGGCGTGAAGTGGAAAAGCAATGTAATTCAACTGCAGACAATAAATGAACAGGAGAAAGAGAGTTGAGAGTCATGCACTATTGGAATCCTTTTGTATTTACAGGGTAACTCCTTTACTCATTATTAAGCATTTTTATTTAGGAGAATGGAGAAAACACAATTTAACTGCATCAAGATTCAGTATATAAATTCCTTGGTGCAAAAATAATTTTTTTTTTTTTTTTTTATTTACACATGTCTCAACCCTCACTGGAATTTCTAGGGACTAGTATAACTCAAATGTTATTGCTTCTAATACTACTTTTATGGTAGTAAATGCTATAAAACCATTTAAAAGAAACAGAAAAATGATAAAAATCCTCTGTAAGGAAAAAGAAATTAAAAATGGCTGTAAATGACTGAGATTACAGCACTTGGCAGTTCATGGTTCCTCTCTCCTTTGAACCATTGCTGAATTAAGCTTGGAATGGCAGGTAAGGGGAATGACATAGAATTTTGATCCTATTAATGTGAGAGCTATATCATCTATTTTATTGTGGAAAGAGGTTAAATGATGGCCAGTAGTGATCTGTTCAGCCCAGACTAACATGCTACATCTGGCATAGATGGCATAGCCATTTCAGTTCCCAGTGCAATCCTGATGGCTACCCCCTTAGTCTTGCACACAGCCTTGAGAGTGTGACTGAAAAACGTGCCTCAGATTTGGAATTGTATGGATCTCTGCTCTTCAGCATGGCATCATTCTGCTCCTTGGATTTTCAGCATCTCCAAGTGGCTCAGCATTGTGGCCTGCCATGGACTGCCACAAATGACAGAACAAAGTTACTACCAGTCACAAAATTCAGATAATTATTTGTCCCTCCAAAATTGACTTTTCATCGTGCTGACACTGTTCTCATCATTCAAACCAGACTGAGTCCAGACACAAATGTCCATTTCTGTATTAGGGGACATTTCCCATTCCAGGTCTGGAATCACACTCTTTGTTCTGATAAACTTCCCTACCTGAGGAACGAGACCACTTCTTCTAGACCAGTTACTCCCTCCAAGTATCAAGTGACAACTTTCCCTCCAGGCATTAGTTTCCCTCTGTGTTGCACCTGGTGTTTACCCCACTTCCAATGCTATCCTGGAAGGGGAGGAATACTTTCCAACATGCACTGTTGGAACCAACTTTTTTATGGGTTAGTAATATGCCAAATTTCCCCTCCTCCAGTCTCTTTTTTTTCCCTTTTCTTCCTCCAATATGCAGCTACTTGAAGATGCAAGCTAGTATGCTGATAGGAAACTTGCATGTCATGCTGACATGCTGTTATCTTGTAGAGGAGAAATGAAACTACATCTTACTATTTAGAAATTAAAAAGCATATTTTCTTTCCTCCCCTCTCCATATTTCCTTGCCAGCTTCCAATCTGATTGCTAGCGTGGTTTTTTGTCCTTCATGCACACAGCATTTTGCTGAAAGATCCTGTGTATTTTTTTCAGATGCAGAAAGCTGTGATGTTCCACCCACTGCATTGCAGTTGTGATTGAGAAATAGCCTGCAAAATACATGGGACTCCCAGAAGATCTGATATGCTATTATAAATATATTTAATGTTAATGTCTATTACAATATTTATTTAGGAATAATATATTAAATAGTGGCATTATTTCTCCCCACAAGGACTGTACTTTCCTTCTTTATTTGAAGATGTTCACGATATTCTTATTTCATTTCAGTTTGATTTTCATGAAAACAGCTAGATGCTTATTCCTTAGTAACCACTCTCTTACTGCTGAAGAAGTTGTTCTGTAATAATATTCTTTTTGCCTGAAAGGCAAATCTTGTCTTCAGTCTGAGCCCAAGTGAGAGACATGCCTACCTTAGAATGGTCCTCTGCTTTCCTGACAAGTCTGGCTTGTGAGCCATCACTACATGTGGTATAGTGGAGCTCACGAAAAACCTTCTCAGAAACAACTACCCTAAAGCAATTCTTAAGGGGTCTAAATAGTAAAGTCCAAACCATTACAAAAGGTCAAGAGGTGGATATATCATCACGTGCTCAGATTTTCTCCAAAATACAGGCTACAATCACAGGAAGCATCAAAGCAACTAACTCAACTGTGTTGCCAGCAGATGAAATTTTCACATTTAATACTTTCCATCTGCTTCAAAATGATTTTTCTAACAATATGAATATCACTCTAACAACTAGTTGACCAAACCATTATATGTTATTTTAAAGGAGATTTTCTTAGTTGTTTTGGAGGAGTTTAAGATGAGGGAGCCACAGTACACAGCGGAACAGCTTTAGACAGATGTCTCACTGGAATGGAAGGGAGAAGAAAAAGGAAGGAGATGGAGGCAGAGGGAGGGAGGGAAGGAGGGAGGAAATGAAACCTCCTCTCTTCATTTCTGTCTCTACCCACCCCCAATGAAGCAGAAAGTGATGTAATATTTTTCTTTCAAAAGACTAGCAATAGATTTTGCTTCCAAAAACTCTTATACCTGGTATACAGGGGACTATTATAACAACAGAAATCATGACATACTCTTCTTTCTGTATTGTCTATTTGAAAAATTGATTAAAGAATGGCTTTCCAATTGCAGCCCCTTTAGCAACATCGACTATAGATACTTTCATAAAACATGCATTAAAAAAAAATAAATCAACCCTGAGCCTAAAAAATCTTCAGCAAAATACATTTACCATTCATTTTTCAATATCTGGTAACAAAAATAGACGATGAGAGGGCATCAGAAAAACAATGAGTATAGTCAGATTTTAATTTATCCTGTTTAATTATAAAATTGTCAGTGTATTCTGACGGTTTTTTTAGATCCTTGATTTACTGCAAGGTTCCAAAATTCTTCTTAATACAAAGGAAAAGAATGTCAGAGAGAAGACTTTGGTGCAGAATAAAAGACAGTTTTAAGCTAAATTCAGTATTTAATGCTAATAAATATGCCATATTAATGCCAGAACAAATAACTAGTATGTTAGGCTTTCAAATGTAAAAAGCAGCAGAGCAGCTTTCCATGGCTACTGCTCCTTGCCTTTCACACCCGCCTTGTCTGCCAACTGGCTCTATCTTGAAGGAGAGACCTTAAATTCCTGCAAGCAGACTGTAAGGCACATGCAGTAGCAGCAGTGTACTGACATTTGCTAAGCACCAGCGTCCCTCAAGTGACTGGGAGCGAAGCCATTGACGTCACTGAACAATAGGCAAAATATTTCCTCCTCCTCCATAGTCCTGAACTGTAAACACCCAGCTTGCACACAGCAGGCTGAACATTTGGGGAGAGGCGGAGAAGGAGAATGCGAAAAACTCTCAACTGATGCTGCTGAAAACAAGCAGCTGTTCCTGCATAACCAGGCTATCCTTATTCCCTCCATTTTGTTGTGAGGATTGCTGGTTCCCCTTTAGTGTAGGTCACATGTATAGAAAATAAATCTAAAATAAACTAAAATAAATCTAAAATAAATAAAACTGTGTCTACAGAATTCATGAGGAATTTTTTGAAGCAAAATGCCTAATATTAATTACAAGGGAAAAAAAGCACACTCTTTTTCTCCCTCTTTCTGTCTGTTATGGTTAACTACAGTTTTGTAACAGTCATCCATGTATTTTGGGCAAGGTGTGGTGGACTGAATGTAAGTGAATTTCCATCTCAGTCATCATATCTCCATGGAGCTACATTACTGTGAGCAAAAGAGAAAAAAAATCACATGGATCAATATATGCTCTAGATTCACTGTAAAGACTAGTTTAACTCCTTGAGCTGGAGTGCTATGGTTATGGCATAGACAGAAAACATAAAGACAGAGTTAACCCTGAAAATGGAAACTTAACTACAGTTTCCTGAGATTATATAAAAAAATATTGATGCACAAACTCATTAGGATTTATCAATTGTTTGACAGAATATTGTACAGAGGTATGAACAGTTAAACAGTGCTGGAAAATAGTAAATGCAGGGAACCTAATTCAGCTCTTTTCTTTGCAGCCTTTTGGAAGCAGCTACAATCCTACAAGTACTCAGTCTTCCCTTTTTCCAGAGCATCCCTGGAAAGATCTCTGGAGTGGAGGAAAAGAAATGGAGTAGTGTGGTGCTGAAAAGAGCTCAGAAATGCCATAACTCTGAAAAAGCTCAAGGAAACCACTGAATCAGGGAGCCCTGAAAGCTTCTGTAAGCCATCTTAGGGAATACACCAGCTTATCTTGTCCATCAATATAAAGTAGAGAAATGAATCTCACTAAGAGTTCTTGACCTTGGATTCAAAAGCCAGCATTGGAAGAAACCCTAAGAAAGATATTTCTTTTCTTTTAAAAACCTTATCTGAAAACATCAGTTTGATGTGCCCGTAGAGGCTCTTGGAGTGCCAAAGAAAATACTTGTGTCACCTGATTGTTAACTGAATAGTCATCTCCATGGAAGTCAAAGTGATTCAGGCAACTATGTCTATCTTCCTCTTGCCTCATCTAGTTTTTGCTCACTTTGTCCAGAGAAGGTGGTGAATAAGCCCCCTTGCATTGTATTTGTTCTCAAACTATAGATGAGGGAATCATGCCCATCACTACATTCTGCAGAGGGCAGCACATGAGAGCCAGAGAGAGGCACCTTTTTTCCCTGTCCAATGCTGCTCTCTCTTGAATGAGGCTCTATGTGGCACATCACATTTGCAGTATGTATTGATTTATGATTTCAAAGTGCTGAACAAACAACTCATTTTTTCCGAACAGACCACAAGTAATTACTCATTATCCCACATTTAATACGCAGGAGAAGTAGGTGTGCAAATAACCTAGTTTGCTGTACAATTACTTTAGTAGGCCGCAATGCTGCACTAATGATGCTGCTTCGTGTCCAGCTGCTCTGCTTGTACTGAATTGGCTGTACTGTTGAAAGTATCCAACTGAAGAAGAATGAACATCATCACCTCTCCAGAGCATGCAGCAACAGCACATATGATTGATTGCGCTTCTGGGGTTTGACACTTACTGTTCCATATGTTTTGTTACATTTGTCAGTGGGCTGGCACTGAATATCTGCACCCTTGCTTATGCTTTCTCCATAGCAAACAATGGCTTAAATGCAGATTCTCATCGAAAGGTCATGTGGCAAAGTAACACTTTGCTAGCCTGCTTTCCTTTTTTCACACTTTGTAATTTTTGTCTTTCCATGGGCTACTTTGTAGTCAAATACTGTCTTTCTGCTGAGCAAGGTGGCAAATAGAAACATGTATCAAAAAAATAGCTACATTAAATGAATAAACAGATGCCTGGTATGACTGTCTCAGACAAATATGTGTAATATTGGCATAAAATGCTGTATTTCTGATCTGATCAAATTTCACTCTTTCTTTACTTATACCTGAACAACCACCTACAATGCAAAGCAGTGCACTTGCTTCATTCGGGTACACCTTGCTGGGGTCTGGAAAAGCTTTGTACAGCTTTGGGAAGCCAAATATGCTGAGGTAAATTTGGAAACCTGTGTTTAATGAGTGTAGCCTGTACTGCACAGCTGAGAAGATCTGAGATCTTGGTGTATGCCCCAGTTGCACCCTGGTCCCAGAGGATCTTCAGCAAGTGTCTTTAGGGATATTGTTTTCTACAGGAGGAAAACTCAGGCATCTGGATTTGGATGAGGCCAAGACCCTAGGACAACCTGTAAAAATATTTGCCACTCAGTCTAATGTCTATCTTGGCATCTTCTTTGAGAAGTGCTATTGCTGGGAGCTAAGTGCAAACTAAGAGAGAGTTACATACTCAAGCACATTTACTTCATTCATAGTAATACATTTTTTAAGCATACCTTTAGGCAAACATTTAAGTTTTACTAGAACAAATATTCACAGAAAATCCATCTTATTTTGATTGCTTGCCCACACGGATGTAAACGCCATTTGATACAGTCTTAGACTTGGTAATTTCCAAGATTTTCCACCTTTTCGCTTTCACACAGCTGAAAACATATTTCTCAGTAAATATTGTATATAGGTCACACAAACATTTCAAGCTACTCGCTGAACATGTATGTTGAAGAAATGAGGGTTAGGGGAAGGATTGAGAAAAAGAAAAATGAAGGAAAACTTCCCTCACTGAAGGAAATATGACTTCTGCATTTTGATAGCTCCATACAGCTGAATGGATTCCACACAAATTTACCTTCAGGCAGAGCCTGAGAAAAGAAAATGCTGTGAGAGCACTGGAAAAGTGTGCACTGTAATGAATTTTAACTTCCGTAGATTTTCATAAAATTTAATGTTAACAGAACATAATATTTTCTCTTGTTCCCATCTAAGCTAAAATGAAAGCATAATATATAGAAAAGAATATAAGCAGCATTTTCCTTTCCATTAATTGGACCTGTGACAATCAATAAGAAAAAAAAGGTAAAGCTAAGCTACATGTGTATAATTCAAAACATAAGCAGATTCTTTAGTTTATGCACACAGTGTCAGGAAATACTTTGGTAAATAATATCACTGTGCTTCCAGGAAACAACAGCAGAATCACTGCACATCTAAATTTTCAGAGTCTAATTTATCTTTAAACAACCATCTATAGAAATTTTTCTGTAAAT